CTTGAACAGTACGGACACAAATTAAATTTGCACAAGCAAATCTAGTCACGTGGTATTTAGAAACAGATGAGGGATGTTTTTCTCCTTGCCATCACATTTTACCTTTCAGAGTCCCTCTTTGTGTTCCTCACACCTTGAACATTCTTCAGAAAAGGTGGGCAACTCAGAGACTCTTAAAAAGAACAGGTAGATTTGGATAAGTCTGCCTCTAAACGGCCACAAATGCACACAGACCAAAGGGTCCAGTAGGGGATTGGACCTGGCTTTCAACCACACTTTTGTCTTTAGCTCCTTCCTAGTTATAATTGAAATCAGCTTTCTTGTCTGCAGTTCAACATACTTCTCACCACAATTCTCTGTAGAAAAGTCCCTCACGCAACAGGAAGGGGGGGATCCTTTTCAGCTTCATCTATCTCTGTGATGCTGGACTTCCTTGGTGGACTTGGGGAATTGCCAAGCGAAGGCAGGAAGAGTGAGTCTTTAGTTTGTTCCCATAATGAACTGTTCCTGGGGGAAGGGAGACTCAGACTAATTGGAGAGGTGTCAGACTCAACCCATGAATGACAGAGCAATCCAGCCAAAATTCAGTTCTTTAAATCTATGGAGATTCTCAGTTATCTAGGTCATGGTTGTTCCAATGGTGCTTTTTCAGGAGTCAATTGGGCTTTGTTTTTTCTTTGATTTTTTTTTTTTTTGGGGGGGTTGTTTTTTGAGGTCTTCAAGTGAAATGTCTTCAAAGAAAAAACAATAAAGTCCACTTGCCTCCTGAAAAAGTACCTTTGGGACTTTCAGTTCTTTATTTGCTCACACCCAGCAAACAGAATATTTTCAGATCAAACCTTTATTGTTTTTACCCTTATGGATATATCCTGGGACATTCTAGGGCAGTGGTGGCTAACCTTTTTGGGCTCCTGTGCCAAAAATTGTGAGCGCACCAGTGTGCCAGCACACAGAATACAATGCATGATCCCTCCCCACGCCCCCTGCGCATGTGCGCACAATCCCCCCGCCACCCCCTTACCTGCACTGCGCCTCACAGCTGATTTTTCGGCTGGTTTGAGGACTTTTTTGGCCTCCCAGAGGCTCAGAAAAAGCCTCTGCAAGGCTTCTCAGGCCGAATTATAGGCCCATTTTGTCACTTCCGGGATTACAGGAAGTGATGAAATGGGCCTATAATTCGTCCTGAAAAGCTTTGTGGAGGCTTTTCCCGAGCCTCTGGGGGGCTAAAAAAGGCCTCAAACCAACTGGGGGAAAAAATCAGCTCTGAGGCGTGGGCAGTGAGGTAAGTTTGCCTGCGGCTCATGTGCCAGCACAAATGGCTCTGCATGCCACGCATGCCATAGGTTCGCCATCATGGTTCTAGCGAATGGCTATCCTAACTCTCTCTGCTTCCTATCCAGCTCTTGGGCTGTGTTGCCTCTGATCTCATCTCCATCCTTGGAATGTGCTCCCTGCCTCCTGGGAAACTGCTGCTTCACTGAAGTCCATCACTGAGCACACACACGCTCACATACATACATACATACATACATACACGAACTTGGCCCTTTAGGATGATATAATTCTCAGGGTAACCAACCTCTGCATAGCTGCTATGAAAAGAAGGCTATAGCTTATTTAACTATGTTGCTTTCATGGGATGCACCCCTATTATGCCTCAAGTGCATTTTATTAACTTATGCTTACAGTACCTTAAACAAATGTGTATTACTCTGCATTATAATGTAAGTCAATACACCTGTCCCCCCATTCAGGGGTGAGATTCTACCGGTTCAGACTGGTTCAGGTGAACCCCTTGCTCCGAAGGTCAGCTGGCAGCGAACCGGTTCGCTGTGACAATCCCACCACTGCTCTTTCCTGTGTTTTATTTCCCTTTCTTACAGCACAGCTGATTCGTGCGGCAGTTTGCCGCGCTTCCGCTTTTTTATTCAGAGGAATTGCAGTAGAAGTGAAGGATTGAAACTTTTTTTAAACGCAGAGCATGCAGGCAGGTGAAGCGCACAATCACCAAACCGGTTGCTATATTGATGGAATCCCACCCCTGCCCCCATTGATTGGAGGACCCAAAATATGTCTGAGCATGAGCTGAATGGAGAAATGGGTTATCTGAGGACCTCTTTGCTTTGAATTTTTAACAGTTATGAATCTAAACATTTCAGTAAACATTCAATGCTATCTTCATTCAAGGCTTGTTTTCCATTACTGGAATGTATTTAAGCTTTTGCAGTGTTTTTCCTTGCTTTGAAAACTGTTTGGTATTCAAAGGAAGTTATTACACCAACCATCTGTACCACTCTGTTTCAAGAGGGACATTAATTTTTATTCTTCTTGGATCTTAAAGGAATAAATTTCCCAATCCCCACCATGCTTGCTAGTCAGATATAACTCAACCAACAGTTGTGGCCAAATTGTGTGCCAGACTGACACTTTTTGATAAAACAAGTATGTGTTATTCTAGGGATAGATGGCAAAGAGGTGTACTGAAGCAAGATAATACTAAGTCACAATGGCAGTGATAGATCTTGACAACATACATTGACTTAAAACATCAACATGCCAAAAAAAAGAACAAAGGGGTGAAGAGATGGCAGACAGAAGCTTTTCTGCACTTGAAACGCAGAAAAAAAACTTTTTTTTTTTATCTCTCTGGTGCAAGTTTTAAAATCAAGAAATGAGTGTTGGAATTCCAGGTGGTTTTCCTTGAAGCCAATTGCATGTTTCCTTTTACACATGCCGCACACATATGTAAAAAGCTCCTTGAGAAAGCTAGAAATCAGGAGACAAGCAACTTCTTTCTGGAATCAAGTTCGGTTTTTTAACATGTAACCATGCTGGGCTCCAATTCCATTCTCCAGAGATTGTGTAACAGAAGAGATGAATCAACCAAGATCCTAATCTCTTAGTTTTTTTTTTTTCCTTTTATGAAATGATAAGCTAGGATTTGTGATCACCTCCTCTCTCTCTTGGACATCATTACCAGGATCCAAAATACCTCTGCCATTTTAATATTTCTCCACCCACCCATTGAACTGGGTGCTGTCAGAACACTATTCTGAAGTGACAGCCTGCTCTCATCCTGCATCTGAAATATCCCTGGGGATAAATCAGAGGTGGTATTCAGCCAGCTCTGACAGGTTCTGGAGAACTGGTAGCAGAAATTTTGAGTAGTTCCAAGAACTGGTAAATACCTGGTTGGCCCCGCCCCCATCTATTTGCTGCCTCCTGAGTCACAGCTGATTGGCTGGGCCTTCTTTTGTTGCCCTGCACAGGAGAATGGAGCTGGAAAGCAGGTTAGTGGGGTGGGGAGGGAATGGGAATGTTACAGTATCCTTTCCCTGCCATGCCCACTAAGCCACGCCCACAGAACCGGTAGTAAAAAAAAATGAATACCACCACTGGGATAAACGTAGCTCATCTAGGAGATGGGATTATAAGTAGCCCAGATTTCTGAAGAAACTGCAGCTCAGCAGAGGTACAAATGCTAGTTTTCCATTTATTCATATGAGTTTCTGTTTATAGAACATATTAATAGAGCCAATTTTTGAAAGACATGTGGAAAATAAATCGGGCTACATCCAGTTTGCAAAATAGGCAAGTTTGTTGACCACAACCCTTTTGGCTCAGGTATCAGAGGAGCAATAAATAGTTAGCAATTTTACTGGATTTGGGTCTGGGACCCAACTAAGACTCTGGACACACGCCTCCAACAAGATGCAGTTTAGTGGTGAGAAAAGTAAGGTCCTATATTTAGGCAGAAAAAACAACTACAAATGTGCAGGTATAGAATACCTGGCTCAACTGTGAGAGGGATCTAGGAATCCTAGTAGACCATCATTTAAGTTTGAACCAGCAGCATATTGCAGGCTGATTTTTAAAAAAAGCCAATGCAATCCTAGGTTGCATCAAAAGAGGGATAGGTAGAAGCTCATCAAAGAGAGAATCCAATCTGTATCTAAGGAGAAATTTCCTGACAGTGAGAACAACTAACCAATGGAACAGCTTGCCTCCAGGAGTTATGGGTACTCCATCCCTGGAGGTTTTCAAGAAAAGATCGGACATCCATTTGTCCAGGATGATATAAGGACTCCTGCCTTGAACAGGGGGTTGAACTAGAGTCCTATGGTTCTATGATTCTATCCTGGTATTAGCGTTTCTGATTTCAAAAGCTGTTAACATCAGATCCATAATATTAACAATCCGTTGGTCAACTCTTGAGGAACATTTATGGTCTCTTCTATAGAAGGCAGTATGAACATTGCTGCTGAAGGAAACAAACTATATTTTATTTATACTTTAGGTAAGTAAAATTTGTCCATTACACATGTTAGTTTCAAGCATGTCCAAGCATCCTTGGAAACTGAATGTTTTATGAAACGATTATAACTTTATAAAGCAATTGTTTTATGAAAGTAATCCATATCATGCAAGCTGTCCTCTGCTGTAAGTATTGTTTCCCTTTCTGACTGGCCGAGCAAAAGTTTATAAACTACAAATGAAATCTATGGTTGTGTAGACAACTCACAGGATATGTACATATTTTCAGCCACATTAAATATATGCTTTCAGGAACCAATGGCACCCAAGGGAGAGGAACTGAGGTTACAAATCACAAACCTCATTCATCATTTTCTGACAACAACTCAGATAAAGTTTGTAGTGCAGACTCTAAATTCTGTTCCATTAATGTAGATATTTTAGAGATTACTATGCTCTTTTGAATCAAGTTTTAAGTATGATCAGCTGTCAAAATATTTTCTTCCTATTATTTTTCCTCTGTAGGATGTTAATCCTAACTCAAATCTTTATTTACAGAACTCAATATACATGTCTTCTCACACATGCTGTTCACGCATATGTAAGGATACCACCCTCTCAATGTCCATACCTAGCCAACAAATGTTTAGTTTAGTAACAAGAGCCACAATATCCCTCCCCTCAACGTATTCTCAGGGTTCCGGTGATTGCCCTAAGATATGATATTATGCGTTGACTTTAAGGCTATAAACGGGCTGTGTGTATACAATCTATACCCTTCCCCCTCATGAACGCCATGTTAATCTTCTCTGTATCGTTCCAATTTTAGTATATGTGTTGCCAAAGCGAGCACATTGCCATACTGTTCCTTCAGGTTTTTCCCCCACTCCTGCTTATGGCAACTTGGAAACAGGCATAGGAATGCTTTATGAGTTGACACATTAGCTTCCATCAGAAAAAGTGAAGGTTATAAAGAAAACAAGCTACTACATTTGCTTGCTACAAACATTCTATAAAAGAGTGTAAGCATAAACATCATGTTTGTATTCCTATGCACTATTAAGTCTGAAGCCAAAAACATTTAGCCAATATTAATCTCGTTATTCCTGATAAAAGCTTCCTGAGCTAAGAATTTACCATGAAGTAAATTCTTCATGGATTTCAAAGAAAGCTTTTCACAATTTTTTAATATGAAAATGATAGATTGTCCTCATTTTATGATGACAATCAGAATTGAAATGGCTGTCGCTAAATAATGTTAGCGAAGCTAAACAATGTGATGATAAAGCATGATGACATGTGACCGTGCTGCTTAACAATGGCAGTCCTGGTTGTCATTGTTAAGTGATGACCATTAAGCAAGGTTCTCACATGACCACAACTTCCAACTTTCTGCTGGTTTCCCCATTGCATTTGCTTGTAGGAAGTTGACAGGCAATGTCAGAAATTGTTATCATGTGATTGTGGCAGAGGTGGTATTCAGTTGGTTCAAACGGGTTCTGGCGTACCGGTAGTGAAAATCTTGAGTAGTTTGGAGAACCAGAAAATACCACCTCTAGCTGGCACCGCCCACCCACACCCACCATTACCTCTCCTAAATTTCCATTTTTTTTTATCTCAGCTGATTCATTCAGCAGAGCAGATTGCTGCGGCTCAGCTGAGCTAAAAACAGCTCACCTCACCAGCATTGATACAGAGGGTGGTAATTGAGCTCTATATGTGCGTGAAGCACTCGTGCACATGCAAAGCACGGTCTCAGAACCGGTAGGGGGAAAAAATGGAAACCCACCACTGGACTTTGAGGACACTGCGACAGAACTCCAAGAATCAGTCATAGATACCACTCATTCAAAACCATCATAAGTTTGAACAGTCACTGAATGAATAATCTTTAAACAAGAATCACCTCTATAAAACAGTTCTAAAAAGTAATGATGCATGTCAAAGCTTTTACTCCCCCAACATATAATAAGAGCAAGCTTTAATTTTCAAACTAGACTATATTGAAACAGCACCTTTTCTTGCACAGGTAGAAATTTCTTATAAGTATCTTTGATTGGCAAAGTGATTTTAGGAAATGAGAGACAGAATATACAAACAGGTTTGTATATATGAATATTTAAGTGATGCCAGGTGCCGTAATACCAGCTGAACTTTCAGGATCTGATCCATGAGATCTACTGTAAAATTCATTTGCTTTCATTAACTTTATTCTTATCTGATACAAGTATAACCTTTTCTATGGTCTGACTTTTTAACAGAGCATCCACTAAGGCCTATGGAAGGTTTTAAAAGCTTGTTTGATTGGAGAAAGACTTTGAGTACAGAACCCAAAGTGACCGTGAATAAAACGTGTATGCATGTGTACAGAGTGTACAAGTGTGGAAACAAAGAGACAGGGAAAAGGAGAGAAAGCAGTAATGAAGGAAAAAAAAAAACTGATACCAGTGAGCTAAAGATGGCTTCTCCAGTTTTGAAATAGCAATATTGTATGGTATTTCTGACAATAAAGTAAATTTGGAAAGATTCCAAAATAATTTTCACAACAAGGGATTCCTTTTAAATATAGGAAGAAAAAAAAAATAGGGATGTCAGCCAGGTAGTAAAAACAGCAAAATATAGTCAAGATAGCAGTCACAATGGTGCAATGCTCTATATCATACACTGTAGACATTCCTGCAAAAAAAGCATACCAGACAATCTCTGAAGAAGCTTCTAGGTGGAATTTCTACAAAACTGTATTTTCTTAACAGGAAAAATTGACCATGAATATCAACCTACAACTTCACCACAAAATAGAGCTCATCTGCCTGGCTTCCTAGCTGTAAAAGCTATTAAATTCAATGTGTTTTACTCTAAAGTAAACAAGAATAATATTACAGGCTAAAATTAATTCAATTTCTCTAGGAACACGAAGTTGGGAACATATGAGACTAGATAATAATGTATTTACATGAATTATATAATTAAATATAATTTGTTATAGTAGTTAAAATGAGGCAACAGCTAATATCAAAAACATAACTTGTCGATCTTTTTCCTTTCTTTTAAATGTTTGATTTTATGTGGTTGTTTCTATTCCTGAGCTCTGATTGTAAATAAAAAAATTGACTTGATAGTAATTTCTAATAAACTCAATAACTTTCCCCAGCAACAATACCAAGAATACCTTTGGGGAAGTCATGGCAGTTAAACTGTAAAGTTGATATAAATTCACAGTGTAAGCACACCCTTTTCTTGTAGCCCATGTATAATAACCATAAATCAAACCAATTTCAAGTCAAAACAAACTACAAATTCTGTGAGATATTGGGTGAGTCCAGGAATTGGGAATCTTAAAAGAAAGAACATAAAAATGCCTTCCATATATATGCCAGCATTAAATAATATATCAAAGGTTTTACAGGAACATTTGTGCCCTTGATGCCTGATCTATGGACTTCCCATAGTTTGGCTTTTTATTTATTTCTTTAGATTTGAATTGTTTTGCCAAGATTCTCAAACCAGAAATTGTAGAGTTTGTGAAACAGTTTAATAACAGTCAAGATAATTATGACTTCCTTGCTCACTCTGAAGAAATCAAGATCCTTTAGACGAGGGGTGTCAAATTTGATTTAATTGAAGACCACATAAGGATTGTGTTTGACCTCAGAGGGCTGGGCCTGGCCATAGTGGGTGTGACACAGACTTTATGTAAGAGGCACCTTGTTGACCAAGTGCTAAGGCAGGACTTCCTTGATACCAGTGGTGGGATTCAATTTTTTTTACTACCGTTTCTGTGGGCCTGGCTTGGTGGGCGTGGCAGGGGAAGGATACTGTAAAATCTCCAGTCAGAGGTGGTATTTGCCGGTTCACCGAACTACTCAAAATTTCCGCTACCGGTTCTCCAGAACTGGTCAGAACCTGAATAACACCTCTGCTTGAGACCCTACCTCACTCTCATTATAATCTCATTCCAATCAAGGGCCAGCAGTAGCTTATTCGGGTTAATATTTCAGCTCTTTCCTGAGGTTTTCAATGTGGCATCCATTATTTTAAAAATATTATACTTCCCTTATTTATTCATTTTGTTTAGAATGAAAACCTGAATGGTAAGATAACATTCGATCAGGTAGAACGTCCTAGTCCAAACTGGCTTTTCTCTCAAAATCCATTCGTTCTGAATGATGGATTTATGATTTTGACAGCAATTTCAAATTTGGGGGATTACAGAAACATTAATGATATGTATATTTGTCATCTAAACTGGCCTCCCCCTTTTAAAATGCTGAATGCATTTAGCAATCCAATTGCTTAAAAATCATATTTCAGAATAAGTTGTTTATTAACTACAGCAATCATTATCTACACTGCAATGCCTCTCTTCTTATTTCTTAACAAAAAAATAAGGTTAAACACATTGGCCATTTGTAAAACTTTGAACCTTGAAGTCCTGGAGGGAGTATATATTTATCACACACAGGAGAAAGAAAGAAAAAAGCTAATTGTGACCATAAATTCTCAGAATACTTGCATATTTTTATACAATTTTGTATAAACAACTGGATGCAGTTTTTTTTCTTTATTATTGTACATTCTTAATAACATGCACAGGTTTGAGAAATACAATAGTTACAATATCTGCTTCCTCATGCAAATTGCCCTTTGCTGGATCAGTTTTATTTATTTATTTACCGCAGATTAACATATACATAAGGCACCACTAATGAGATCTGATGGAAGGCACAAAGGTCGGTTTCAACTGAATACAATTAAAAATGAGGCATGGAGTGAAAACACAAAATGAATATAATAATCTGATTAACTGAGCTACCAAAACAAAACTGTACTCTTTAAAAAAAAGATCCCCTTGACAACTGAAAAATAAAATAAAATGATTCTCCATTTAACAGGAATAGAATATATGGAAAGCAGAGTCAAATGAACGTTGTCATTTCATGCAGGTTTTCTCTCCAGTTACTTGGCTTTTAAATCTATCAAGATGGACAGTTTTAATAATGTTGTGACAAAAGCTTGAAAACAACGTTGCTGTTTTTTTAAAAAAATACTATGGACCTTGTGAAATAATTTTGGGGAAGATGTATGGAATTTGTGCCTTGATTTATAATATTATGATCCCAACAGAGATGGTATTTAGCCAGTTCTGACAGGTTCTGGAGAACCGGTAGCAGAAATTTTGTGTAGATCAGAGAACCAGTAAATACCATCTCTGGTTGGCCATGCCCCAATCTATTTGCTGCCTCCCGAGTCCCAGCTGATCGGAGTCCCAGCAGATCAGCTGGGTCTTCTTATGTTGCCCTGCACAGGAGAACAGAGCTGAAAAGCAGGTTAGAGGGGTGGGGAGGGAATGGGGATTTTACAGTATCCTTCCCCTGGAGTGGGGTGGAAATGGAGATTTTGCAGTATATCCTTCCCCTGCCATGCCCACCAAGCCATGCCCACCAAGCCACACCATGCCCACCAAGCCATGCCCACAGAACCAGTAGTAAAAAAAAAATGAATACCACCGCTGGATCCCATCTTCCTATTGAAAATATTATATCCTATTTGTGAGGACATATCCTGTCATATACAGTAAAAGACTGCCAGAGGGAAGATGATCAGAAATTGTTTTCTGTAGCGGTACAGAAGCAAGTTGTAGTATCTAAATTTTGTTTAAATATAATGAAAAGTTTCCTAATAGTAAGATCAGTGAAACTCTCTGTCTATAGAGGCTGTGATTTCTCTGTAAGCTTTTAAGAAGACGCTTGGCAGTGACATCTTCACTGATTATAGAGGGTTGGACTAGATGATCATCCTGACCCCTTCCAACTCCATTATCCAATGATCCTCATATCAACTTTGTGATGCGTC